TTACCCAATAATGGTATAAAGAAATTTTCTCGAGCGGTTTATGCACACCTTCGAATTCATTTAGCTGATGAAAGTTTGTGCAAGTTCTTGCAGTTTCTTAAAGTAGAGGTGTTCGTGGGTTAGGTTGGAACATGTTTTAGACCCAACCCAATCATTTAAATGGTAATTTTTTTAATTCAAACAACATTAAATCTAACATAACTATTAATTTTTGGATTTTGTTTTGTTCAAGTCATTTATTTTTATTTTTTTTTACCAAAGTAAAAGTTTAGTTAGGACAACATCTAAGTACATTTAATTAAAATTTATACTCAATTTCAATATATATTTTTAAAAAGTTACCTTATAACAGAATTTTAGAGAATTAAAATATATATATATATATATATATATATATATATATAATTAAATAAAAATAAAATAAAAACTTTTTATATATAAAAAAAATTGTAGGGTAACAAAAATGCATATTTTAAAATTAATCATCTATATATATATAATTAAATAAAAATAAAATAAATACTTTTTATATATATATATATATATATATATATATATATATATATAAAATTGTAGGGTAACAAAAATGTATATTTTAAAATTAACTATCAATTCTGGTTTATTTAGTTTAAGCCCGTCTAATTTTAAGTGAACTCATGAACAACTCAATCTATAAAATTTTCATTTATTTGGGACCAACTTAATCTAAATATGTTCATAACTCAACCCAAACCATACGGATTAGATTGAGTTGATCAAGTTTTTAAGGTTATCGAATTTTTTGAATACCCATATCTTAAATAATATATTAATGAATTAAGAGCACCGTAAGAACGTCAAAAAAATAAATAAGTAAATAAATTACATTCCTAAAAATTTTATCAATAGGGGAGAAAAAACAAGTAAGAAAAAAAGCTTACCAAAGAAATCATTTTGCACGAAAAGCCGATCAATTAGAACACCGTGCTAAATTACTAGCACTAAGAACGTAATAAAATGCGCGAACATTCATTTAGATGATCGAAGATTATCGATTAATCAATCTATTTCTGGTTGTTTAAGATTATGTTTGTTTTGGCCATCTAAAACAAAAAAAACAAGTTATGAATTAGGATCTAAATTTGAAATTTAACTAAATTTTTCAAAATGGATAAAGGATTTGGGGGGATATAAATGCAGTTGTTTAAAACTAGGTTTGAATTACATACTTAATAAGGCAGACATTTTTGTATGTAAAATATATAGCTAAGTAGTTGTATACTTAGTTGTGAGAAGGAGGATGAGTCCTAGCATGTTCATAATCTGAACTGAAAACGCCATTGTTTCCTTTAACTTTCTTGTGATCATTCTTTAATTCTTCCAATCTCTTCACCTGCTTCCTTCTCCTCTTGTATCTTGTTCTTTTGGATCTTACACTTTCTCTCTCTTCACCTGCCTTTGAAGCTGATAGCTTCATGCATTCTATTGCTGGTTCATCCCATGAAAGAGCTATCTTCCCCAATCTGCCCTAAAAGATCAAAAACATAACAAAAATTAACCAAAAAACAAAAACAAAAACGGGGTTAAATACAAAAACGGGGTTATCTTCGACATAAATTGAATGGTCACGATCGAGGATGTTCAATTTGACCCATTTGGTCTATAACGAACTAAGTTCACCGCTAATAAATATTGTCTGTTTTGGCCTGTTATGTATCGCCGTCAACCTCATGGTTTTAAAATACGTTTGTTAGGGAGAGATTTCCACACCCTTATAAATAATGTTTCGTTTCCCTCTCCAACCGATATGGAATCTCAAAATCCACCATCTTGGGGACCCATCGTCATCGCTTGCCTATAACTCAATGTCTGACTCTTATACCATTTGTAATCGTCTGACTCTTATACCATTTGTAACCGCTCATGTCCACTACTAACAAATATTGTCCGATTTGACTTGTTACGTATCATCATCAGTCTCACAGTTTTAAAATGTGTCGGCTAGGAAGAGATTTCCACACCCTTATAAGAAATGCTTTGTTTCCCTCTCCAACCGAGGTGAGATCTCACAATCCACCCTCTTGGGGACCCGTCGTCCTCATTGACACATAACCCAGTGTCAATACCATTTGTAATAGCTCAAGCCCACCACTAGCAAATATAATCCGCTTTTGGTCCGGTACGTATCGTTGTCAACCTCACGATTTTTGAACTCGTGTACATGGGAGAGGTTTCCACACCCTTATAAGAAATGTTTCGTTCCTTTCTCCAACCAATGTGGGATCTCACAATCCACCCTCTTGGAGACCCATCGTCTTCGCTAGCACATCATCCAGTGTCTGACTCTGATATCATTCGTAATAGTCCAAACCCACCATTAGCAAATATTATCCGCTTTGGCCCATTACATACCACCATCAATCTCGCGATTCTAAAACGCGTCTGCTAGGGAGAGGTTTCTACAACCCTTATAAGAAATGCTTCGTTCTCCTCTCCAACCAACATGAGATCTCACATAATCAATCAGTTCGTTCTCCACAAACCTTCCAAAACAATAGAGATCTCTAATCGAACAAATTGAACGATCGAGTCATCGATTACATTGAACAACAAAACCAACACCCACCAACCCATAATACCAAATTCATAGTTTTTGCATAGTTTAGGTACCAACCTTAATAGGAGCTTGAAGTTTCTTCTCAAATTTGATATCACCTAATTGGAGAGTCCATGAATGGCATGCTTGAAACCAAATGCAAACAAGAAATAGAAGAACATAGAAAGAGATTGACATATTATTATGAGATAGAAAAGGCACAATGGCTTGGAAATTATAGATCTCCTCAGAAACTGCATAGAAACTTACAAGATATTTCTTCTAGATAAGAGAAGAAATTAGTGGAATCAAGATAAGCAATATTTTGTTGATATGTGTTGGAGTTAGGGTTTGTTGCGTGCTCCCCTTCACCTTTATGCATTGGAATGCATAATTTTGGTATTAATATATGAAGGGAAGAGTCATAATATATTATTTTGGTAGCAAAAAGTAAGACATTTTTCCCTTTAAACAAGGTTTCTTCAACATCAAACCATGCATCGTCCTTGGTGAAGATATCCCCCCATGTCTCTTCTCCTTGTTAGTTTATCAAATTTTAACTTTCCAATGAGAATTTTAAGAGTTTGTTTTGTTCAACTTATTAGTTGCACTTAATGGGGTTCCTTCTTTTTTGTCTCTTTCTATGGTTTCTCGAGAAAATTGATGGAACAATAAATAATTGTTTTGTTGCATTTGAAAATTCTTCTAGTTTCAAAATCTTATGTATTTTTTTGCCGTTATGATATGGGCACGGTGGAGGAGTTGACAACTACTTCAGGTAGCAAACACGAGAAAGTTTGAGGGATCGAGAATCAGTGATCAAGAGACTTAGGACTGATATTCATGGTTGATTGGTCAACCTAATCATAAAAATGTCAATATGCAAATTGAGTTTTCAGTGTTCCAAAAATTTAACAAAAAAAAGAATTTTAACGTCTTAGTTTTGGTTCGGTATAATCTGAGTTGGTCAGATTATCGGGTCATATAAACATCCCTAACTTCTTGACTACTGAGCATGGCAGGTAAGACCACGTGTCATTCAAGTGATCTTTAATGTATAATTATGGCTTGAGCTTGAGGTATAATAGACTCTAAGAAAACAAAGAAACAAATTTAATTAATTCACTTGTAGCTATCTCAATTAATTAATTTTGTTTTCACTTCCATTATTAAATTTTAGTACTACCATTGAATTTTTAAAGAACACGGTTCACACACACACTCATGGACCCATTAGGCGGGCTCGCATACATACTCTAAGGAGCCTAACTTGGTCGAGCACAACGCGTTAACACGTCATTGAATAGCGTAGAAAAGAAAATGTCTGCATAATATCATGAAGAACATAAATATCGAAGATACGCATCTATACTAACGTAACATAATGGGGAAGTATCCCGATACACATGACATACATACATGCATGAGGTCCCCATGATTACATTCAAAGCATAACATTAACCTTCTTTTCTTTCTCCTTTCATCCATGACATACATATATACATCATGTATACATGATAGTCATCACATAACCCATCACATAGTTGTACATGGCAAGACATGACATAACATACATAATATTTCATTTCATTTACAACATCGCGTAATGGATATTACATGCATACATAGCATAGCATCATATGTAATTACATAGAACACATAAAACATAGCATTAAATAATACTATGCATGCAGGGCCACGGGGCAAGTTTGATTATGTCATTTGAAATTCAAGTCAGCCTATGTGAGCCTATGACAACAGTTTCAAGTTCGAACTTCTGCAAAATTATTTCTCTTATTTATGGCCGTCTATGTGAGCGGTGAGAAGTTAGTGGAGAAAAGTTTGCAAAAAAAAATTAATTTAACTTATTTTTATTTATTTATTTTATTTGGGTTATCACTGTCAATTTATCTAGGTATGCCCTTTACAATTCTATGCTATCATTTAAAAAATTATTCATGAGACACAACTTTATAGTATATATAGAGACGGTGTCAATCGAGAGAGTTCACTACTAAAAATTAGTTGACGACTCTCTAGTAGTGTTTGCATTATACAATAATCATAATCGTGAGGAAGCGACTCTCTTATCTGCCAGCTACTCGATATCCATGTTGACCATTGTCAATCTAGACGAGTTCACTATCATAAAATAGTTAAAGGTCTTCAAATAGTCTCGATAGTTTGATAAAATAGCGTTGTATATCATATGCGTCAAGAACACACCTCTGATACAGATGTAGATCTTGTCTATGGAAACATATCACTATTAAAAATTAACTGAAAATTCTCTGGTAGTCTCCATGTGGGATAATGGAAAGGAGAGTAATTCTGTAGCTCAATTAAAATAATTCTATACCAACCCTTGTCAATCTCGACAAATTCATTGCTAAGGGTTAGTTTAACCGAGACTTCATAATCATAAAGATTTGGCATGGTATAGTTAAGTTCCATATGGAACTTTTATTAATGGGTTGCGGATCAAAGCTTTAATAGAATTCGATCTGGTTTTCTGCCGCGGCGGTGTTTTCTGTGTGCGCATGGTCTCCGGCGTTTGGATCTGCGTTCAACGGCCGAACTCCTAAGGTTGTATATTCTCCTCCCTTTCAGTTCTTGATAATTTCTCTGCTGATCATTCTTGGACAACATTTCAGAGCTCTTCTTTTGTTCGATTCATACATCTTAATATCCCCTTTTGTATATGTTTGTGCACGTAAGTTTTTTCGATAGATCCTAATCTGCTGGTAATCTTTACTCGACTGTCTCTGTTCTTTACGTTCTTCATAGCACGCTATTATGCTAAGTATACAAAATTCCAAGCGTGTTGGTTCTAGGGTTTATAACACATCGCAACTCCCAAATTTGATTAGGCAGAGAAATCGTGTTGAAGATTAGCCATACATCTTAACAACTTATATGAAATTTCCGAGTAATCCACATTAGTCTTAGTCGTACAGAACAGTGACATGAAGGTGATAAACTATACTGGCAAGGAAGATGAGCATAGTTTCTAAGGCATGTGGGCTACCTTGGAGAAGGAGCTATTTCCGATTCAGAGAGAATTCTTGTAGACATGATACGAGTTTGTGGGGAAGTGCTTTGATGGACTGGTAGACACTCCTTAAGCTCTCCCAAAACATGACTTATGTCTGGCCTTTGAAGTACAGTTGATTGAGTGCATGACATGGCAAGTTCTATGATTTTCCAGGCTGAATTGTGGTTGAATTGTCCTCCTAACTTGAAATCAACAATTTGTTGAATGTCTCCTGTTTGGATCATTGGTTCCACCCAGTTTAATATGTGAAAATTCCCACCAGAAGTTCTTGTTATTGCAGGCTGTCCAGTGACCAGCTCAAGCAAGATAATGCCAAGGCTATAGATATCACTTTGCTTATTTACATTACCACACCCTTTAGTTCTGTATAAAAAGCACATAAAACATAGAATCAAGTGACTAAAACAATAAGAAACCAAAATCTCATTAAGTTAAGAGTAAATTAGGTCTCTTGTTTTACTTACCCAAGGTCGAGATATCCTGGTGTACCAGCTAGACGGGTAAAAGGTTGAGATTCATTTTCAGTTGCAAAAGTTCTAGACAATCCAAAATCAGCTATTTTGGCTGTCATTTTCGTGTCTAATAATATATTTGCAGGTTTTAAATCTCTATGGATAATTGGAGGTTTGCAACCATTGTGTAGATACTCCAATCCTGTAAAATGGCATACGAGAGTAAGTGAGTTCGTTTTTTTTTAATATTGTCTTTAATGCTTTTGATAAAGACAATAGACCTCTATATATCTCTATAATGATATAGTATTGCCCACTTCGAACAAAAATTCTCATGGATTTTCCTTAGATTACCAAAAGATCTCATCCCGTTAAGGATATTGCCCTATACAAGAAAGAAAGAAAAGAAAATATATGTTCTAATTTAGTTTACTAACCCTGTGATACATCCACTGCAATTTGAAGTCTTCCAATCCAACTAAGAGTATCGGTGTTTGAATTTGTATTTTGGTTTTCTGCATGAAAAACATATAACAAGCTCAGCTCATTGATACCTGGAGCCATTTAGAAATTTCAGTGAGTGATTCTGAGTAGAGAAACATAATATCAATACTTAAGTGTTGCTGTAAACTTCCATTGGCCATATATTCATAAATGAGCGCCTTGTGTTGACCTTCATCACAGTATCCAAGTAGGCAAACCAAGTTGCGATGATGAAGAACCATCAGAAGTTGTGCCTGCATTTCAAGTGGGATGATTTCATTTGACTTCATCACTTGTTGGCCATCATATCAAATGGTTAAAGATGGGTAAAAACAAGCAATACTTATCTGCTAGCTAGACTCCAACTTTTTGCAGCCCAACCCGCCCACATGACAGAAGAAAAAAAATAAAAAATTTACATGCACCTCTATTCGAAATTCTTTATTGCCTTGTTGTGACGTTGCTGAAAGCATCTTCACTGCAACTGTAGTTTGATCCTTCAGAGAACCAAGATAAACTTTCCCAAATCCTCCTTCTCCAAGAACCACCCCAAAGTTTTCAGTAATACCCACAACCTCTTCGTAGCTATACTGTCTACCCTTCAATTTTAGTGGATCCTCTTGTTTTGATTCGATCGAGTTCTCTAAGGAAATAAGAATCAAATTTTCAACAAGAAGATAACAGCATTTAAAGGCGTACATTATAAAGTATTGTAATCAATATAAGAAATCAAATAAGAACATACCTTTGGGTTTTCTTGTACAGATTATAGTGACTCCCAGTAGGATTACAACAAAGACAAGGGCCGCTATAACAGAGAAAAGAATAGGAATTTCCAACTCTTTTTTCTGGTTGCATGGAGGTGACCAACAGAGTCCTGGATTGCCTTCCATACTGAATGAAGGAAAAAGAAAACCAAATTAACCAGAGAAAGAAAGGTGTAGTTTTGTATTGACTTTAACTTTTCAAAAGAAGAAGTGACCTTAAAATTAAGGTTCCATCCTTAGACTTTTGAAGAAGAGTGTCAGGTACGACGCCGGTGAGTTTATTCCCACTTAAATTTCTGGAAGGAGAAGTACTAACAATAGTTAACACATTGTATTATTTTAGGATAAGATGTTCTTAATGATACTAAATGTATTCTATTATATTGACAGATTTCTTGTGATGAGATGTTATACAGAAGTCGCAGCTGTGGCAATAGCACCAAGAATTCTGGTACTGCCCCTTCCAACTCATTGTAGGATAGATCTCTGAGAAACAAGAACTCAATTAAAACACCTTCATAATATTATGGCTTAATCTTTCAAAGCAAAAACGAAGATTTTTGGAGCATGAAAATAGAAAAGAAAAATACTTACAAATAGTTGATGGCAGTGAGCATGGAGAAGGTGGATGGGATATCTCCAGTTAAGTTGCTTCTGCTCAGGTTACTGCAAAAGTAGATTGGGAATTCTTTTGAATACATCACATAGTGGAATTAGTGAATTGCTAAAGGAGAGGAGAGGCTTTTGGTTGAGAAATTATACAGTGAAATGATTCTTGCCCATGGTTGGACATTGTTGCAATTCAAACCTTTCCATGAGAACTCTGGTGGGCTACAAGGATCACCTTCCCAATTTCTACTAAGCTTGTAATGTTGCTTGATATCACTTATTGCCTTCACTGTGAGTAGTATTAGTAGAAGATGTGTCGGTAATATTCGAGGGTAAGAAGAAGAAGAAGAAGAAGAAAGAAGAGAACGTACGATCTTGCAAGAAGGTAAGTGGATTTGGAGTGTCCATGGCGTACAAAATCTCGTACCCGTTGAGGATGGGAGGGAGGCTAGAGATGGATGTAGCAGAAATGGAAAATTTAACCTGCTGGCCGTGATTCACATCTAAGCCTTTTGTGCAAACTGTGTGTGGTTTGAGATATTGGAGTTGAATGGACTGTGTGATGGTTTGGACATCGTTGAGCACAATCTTCATATCCCGAAACTTCCCGGCTTCATGCTTCTCGATCTCCGCAAAATGAAAGCAAACATATAATCTATAACTTCTATAGGCTGTCCCTAATCCAAGTGGAAAACTTGAACCGTTGGCACGACATGCCGTCTGTAACATCAACATTGGCAACTTGTATGGATCATCATCGTTATCATTAGTATTATTGCTCCCAGCAATTACAGCATTTGTGGTCACTAAGCTCGTATTGTTTTGGCAATTGTAACCACTCCAGATCCGATCATACACATCTTTTGGGTATCTGCAAGCATGAATTACCATTACCTACAATAATACATGAAAAAACTGACAAATTCTTCTTTCTTTTGCAGAAAAAATAGTTGCAGCACATGATGCATTCAAGTATGGTTCATAAAGCAACGAATGTGAAGCCTAATTACGTGATTTGGTTGGTGCCTCCAACATCGAATCGGTTATAAAGGACCAAGAATTTTGCAGTGTCAATGGGATCAAGTCGATAAAGAGAGACGTCGAGAGGTCGTAATATCAAAGCGGAAATGTAGGGAACTCCAGAATTTGTGTTAACCAAACAGACGTCGATGTAATCCGAGGAAGGATCAGGGAGGGTAATAGCCTCCATACATTGGCTGTCAAGCTTCACTGTTCCCCACAAATTGACGCCGAGGTGAAGGTCAAAAATGGGGGTGGAGTTTAAGCCATCATAATTGCCATACACAAAGGAAGCTCTGATGAGATATTTAGTCATTTTGGGTGCCTCTGTTTTTAGACGGTAGCAGTTCCTTGTGCCATTTGGAAAGCTTCTTAAGCTCCAGTATATAGGTCCCCAACGTGGACGATATTCTGCTAATATTTGGTTGCTCATTCCAGATCCTATCATGTCTTTGTCTGTTTTATAAACCAACCCATCCCATTCATTTACCATATCTTCGAATCCGCCGCAGTCGATACTAATGAAACCTATCATTTCAAAATTCGAACAGTTACAGACTTTGATTTATTTCTTAAAACTACTTACACGCATTCTCGAGTTCAAGAATTGCTCAAGATGCATTGAAGCATTACCGAGTTCAAGAATTGCTCAAGATGCATTGAAGCATTACCATTTACTTTTTTGTATTTGAAAATTAATTTGAGTTCTAGCACAAATAAGATATCATCTACATCCCAAATTTATTTAACGCTTCTTATCCGCTCTCTCGTATTTAAGAGTTAGGTGGGATCATAACTTTGTATATCGTGTGTTTATATGATTTTTGTTAAAATATATATATATATATATTTTTTTTTTTTTTGAAATACGTTAACACTTCTCTATTAGAAATATTCGAATTTTGCACTCTTCACAATTGTGCTTACAAAAATCGAGATATAGAATAAAATAGGTGAAATTTGACAACAATATTATCATTCCTAATTCCAAAATATAGCAATTCCAAGATCACTTTATGAATATTTTATCACAAAACATTACTTTTATGTCCCTTTGACTTTTCTCAAAAGCATTTATAAGTTAATTTTCAAGTACTGTTTCATTAACCAATCAAAAAGTGTTTTTAAACCTAAGTGTAATAATAATAATAATAAGGATATATTTAAAAGTAATTTTTAATATAATAAAATTATCAAAATGACTTGTTGGTGAGTGATTTATTGAATATTTGGTTCTATACGTTTAAAAATGATTTTCTATCTCTAAGGTGAACTTGTATCATTAAAGGCAGGTTTGAAAATGATTTTATAATTATAATTAGTTATTTTTATTGTTTAATTATATACTTAATCAGAGATTTTGATTTAAATAAAATATTTTTTTAATGATTAGTGTTATTTTAGAATAAAAATTATAAAAATAAAAAATAAAACTAAAAACATGAAAGGCTAGGAGAATTTTCAAGTAGTTAGAAAAATATACAAAATTAGTTTTAAAAAATTATTTTTGGCCTTTTAACTTCAATTTATAACGATTTAGCCTCCAACCGTTTATATTTACTCAAATTTTTCGTACCAATAAACGGGTGCTACAAAGTCTAAATCATTAAATAATAAAAATTAACATTTAACTTTGATAAAAAAAAAAATTACAATGGCATAAATTAATTGTTATAAATTTAATAATACAGAAACTAAATTATTACATGCTAAATTTCAAAATATAAATGGTTATTTTTACGAACATATAAATATAGAAAGTGTAAAAAAACGAAAAGTGTATTACTAATCGAGAAAACTATAGAGGATTAGGGGGAAGAGTAATCTCGCGTTAATTAATTACGAGAAAGATTATAAATTTATAACTAAGAAACATCATCTTATTCTTATAAACTTTTTTGAAAGACGAAAAGTAAAATAACGAGAACCTATATTTTGAACAATATCATACTACTATGAAGATATAGTTTCTACCTTCGGGAGATTGGGCGGCGTAGACGAAGTGAAAGCCCGTCGCCAAAACGCATAGCGAGGCGGCACAAACCCACCTCCGTTCGACACCCATTGCCACTTCAATGGAACCAAAATTTGATCTCTCTTTATAGAACCAAACCTTTGTGTTCTTTCATTCAAGTCTCCCTCTCAATTTCGTATTCAATGCTTGCTCCCACATGGACCACCCTTGACCATTTCCAACACTCTATGCCAAAATTTCGTTTTAATTCTCTTGTTTCGTGTAACAACTCGGCCTTCTACGTAATCACACGAGTATTACTTAAAATAAAGGTTTGTAATTTAAATGAGAAACGTTGTTTGCTCGAGATACCCTTTTAAGAAACGGTGAAAGGACATCCAACAAAACAAAGTGAACTATACGATGCTAAAATTTCATCCTAAAAGCACTATCTATGCAATTACAATCTCACTAGTTTCTATAACCTGACTCGATAGGAAAAGTCCAAAGAGAACAATATCTGCTAGCGGTGGATTTTGGTCGTTACGAGGAGTTTTTTAAAATAAAAACTTTCAGTGTGGAAGCTATTTTTAAAACATAAAATTTCAGAGTTGTTTCGTAACCCTATTCGTCACTATCATTGATAGTCAAAATTATGAATGGATATCTTAAGGAGAAGCTACTCGTATGGTAGCCGTTGAACGATGTTGGAATCGCAGGCTCATCAACCAATGACGCACAAGAGAAAGGTAAAAGAAAACAATTGAGCACACAAATTGGCCACACATCACTTACGATCATCGAGATCGACCACTATCATGTTGTTCAACTGCATCGACATTCGAGGGTCATTCCCCGAATGGATTTGTTAGAAATTAAAAATTTATTTTCACAGTGAAAGCCTCGAAATCGATTTGACTTCAAATAAAACATTTAGATGAAATCAAGAACTCTAACATTGTAGATGACAAGCCTCTTTATTGTGTTCCAACGGTATATAACTTACTCTTCTAACGCAAGTAATTTGACTCGTGGGAGACTCTTGCAAAAATAAAAATAAAAATTTAACTAGAAAATAATATATTCAAATATCTATTTTTATTTAAGTTAAATTTAAATAAAATATTTCAATATATTCTTAACCTATTTAAATTTGATTGAGATTTTGATTGAGATTTAATTTTGATTTGGTCTAGTCAACCAAGTCAACTTCTCGATCAGACTTATATTGATTGAACAATGACTAAATTCTCAAAATTAATTTTCTTGGTTTTACTCACTTAAATCTAAACTACTCAAATTGGATCTCGAACCGTTTCAATTAATTCAGTTTAGTTTAAGTTAATTCAATTCAATCTCGATTATACTAATACTATCGGTTATGATACGAAACGTTTGATGATATTTTTTTCATAAATTTTGGTGTTATCTCATGCAATCCCTACGTGAAAGTGATGAATAAGAATTGAATGGTATTCTATTCTATAAAGCCAAAATGGCACACATCAATCAAAATTGCCTATCAAAAACACTACTTTTCATAATGCATTTTGTATTTAAAATATTATAATCATCCGACCCGTGTTAGTAATTGGCAAAGAAGTTTCAATTAAGATAAGAAAAGTTGTTAGTAGCCGTTACCAATGAGCGAACCACGGTTAGTGACAAGGGTTACTAATGGTGGGCACGACCCTAAGAGAAGTAAAGATAGTATGAGAATATCTAAATCATTTTAGTATATCCTTAAAAAAAAAAAGACAGAGCTACTTCCATCAAGCTCCCTTTCAATCTTTTATGAATGTTTGAATGTTGAAAAGGTTGTTCTTCAATCGATATCTAATGGTTGGCTCAAAGCGACTTAGAAAAATCTTATCATGTTTTTGTCTGATTCACTTTCTGCATATGCACGGCACTCCATATTAATAAAACCTGTAATTTTCACATTTAATACAATTACTAACTTTCTTGGATCCTTTATTTTTGGATTAGTGGATTAGTAGTATTTGATATGTTTAGTTTTTAAAAAGTAGAAAACAAAAATAAAATGGTTATTAAATAAAATCGAAGATTGAATAAGGTTGATTTTTTTTTATAAATTTTGATCGATCCTTACATGAAAGTGATGAATAATAACTAAGGAATGGTAGAAAAATCGAGGTCGTTGATAGTTGTAAATGAAGGTTGCCGCTTGTAAAATTTAGTTTCAATTGTTTAAGAATAATGTAGGTCGAGCAACATTAATCTTCCCCCAACAAAAACGGTACTAATACCATCAAGCTCAATTTGACACGGTACGAAGACTATTTGGGCAACGGACATAGACTCAACTCCAAAACTGACCTTTCGATCTTTCATTAATGTTTCAATGTCAAATGTTGAATAAGTTGTATGGGCTTTCTTCTTGCTCATGCCAACTCCCAAAGAAGTTATTTCAAAGTGATGAAAACGTCTTGATCTAACCTAAGGGTTACAACGTAAATGAGAATGTGACCGTCCTAACTTCATTTCCATGGTCTTCACCATGTTATTATCCATACAAGGTTTTCTTATCTTTACTTGTAAAAGAAATACCACGTGGCTTGAGTATTTAAAGAAATACTAAATAAATAGCCCATCTGTTTTGGTCAAGAAACACAATCACATGCAACCATGGTGGGACCTATCTTTTCATAAAAATATTGTGGTCTTATACTCTACTTTCCATTATGGGTGAAGTTGATTGTGTAGTAATTCTCTACACGTGGCTCATGCATGCACACATGGACCCACCAAGCGGGCTCATGTACGTACTCTCTAGGCATACCCTTCGGCTAGTGCACGCTCATGCTCATGCTGCTAGAGCCATAGGGAAATGAGCCTCCATAATATCATGGCGTGCATAATATCATTGGGTATGTGTCCGTACTAATCATAACGGATAAATATTCTGATGCACGTGACATACAAAATGCATCAGATCTCATAGTATCAAATTATGGCATAGACTTATGATGAAGTCACAGCTCTATTCTTTCATGACATAGAGTTCCTATGAGACATGCATTCGTATACTGGAAAAGGAATGAACTCTTCATCCTTATAGCGGAAGGATTGAAAACCGTTTTGATTTTATTAAGAATTAAAATAAAGCAATTAATATGCGAGCAAGAACTTTACCTTTATACAAACGGTAAGTTGCAAGTCTCTTTGATGTATTCCAACGATGTAAAAGTTTCTCCACAAAGTTTTTTCTCGTTATGACTCAACAAAAGGTCAAAACTTGTGGGACCCTCAGACCCTCTTTAAAAGAAAATCACTGAATATCTGTTTGTTAGAAATCAGGACTCTCATAATGGTATGCACAATCTCATGGCTTTGCTTTGGGCTTCTCCAAAAGGACTCGTACTAATAGAGATATATTCTTTTACTTATATTTGTTTACTTGTAAACTCATGATCATTCCCTAAATTAGCCAATGTGGAACTTATTCCCAACAATCCTAAAAAATTCTCCCATCGAACAAAGTACAACATAAAATCTCCCCTGAGGCCTATGGAGCCCTTGAATAGCCTCCCCTTAATCGAGGTTCGACTCCTTCTATGGAGCACTTTTGACTATACCTTCAAGGCTCACAAATCTTTGTTCGACATTTAAGAATTCTATTGACATAGCTAAGTTAAGAGCATGGCTCTGATACCATGTCAGGAACCAAGACCCTCCACTATGGTATGATATTGTCCATTTTGAGCAAAAGCACTCGTGAATTTACTTTGGACTTTCACAAAAGGCCTCATACCAATGGAGATGTATACCTTACTTATAAACCTATGATCATTTCTTAAATTAGCTAATGTGGGACTCCCTCCCAACAATCCTCAACAATCTTCCCCTTGAACAAAGTACACTATAGAGCCTCCCCTCGAGGCCTATGGAGTCCTCGAATAGTCTCCCCTTAATCGTCTCCCCTTAATCGAGGTTTAGAGCCAAACTTAGCTATGTCAATAGAATCCTCAAATATCGAACAAAGAAGTTGTGAGGCTCGTAAGTGTAGTCAAAAGTGACCCAAGTGTCGAGTAAATGGTGTAGTTTGTTCGAGGACTCCAGAGAAGGAGTCGAACCTCGATTAAGGGGGAGGTTGTTCGAGGGCTTCGTAAGCCTAAGGAGAGAGTATAGTATACTTTGTTTAAGGAGATTGTTGAATATTATTGAGAGGGAATCCCACGGCTAATTTAGGAAATGATAATGGATTAATCTCTTTTGCATATTTTTGAAATCTCTTCCTCAAGAAATTCATTATTCCCCCGAGAATTTTTTTTTTTTTTCCATTGTTTATTTTAAAAGAAAATAAATCCAACCAAACAAGAACTATTAAGTCTAAAGGGGTAAATTTGCTATATAAATTTCGATTTAAAAAATCTTGCATATCCTAATAAAAATAATAATACTTCATATACCAAAGTATAATTGAAAACGATAATTTTTTAAAGCTTAATTTTCAATATTACAACACATACTTCTTAGTTTAAATATTAAAAAATATACAATTAAATACATACATCGCCATTTTAAATATAATACTTTAAATATACATATATACACAGCACTGTATAAAAAAAATTAAAAATAAAGATAAAAACATGAGAGGAACATGGCAGGAATTTAATCTCTAGCTACCCCTGGTTTACTACAAACAATAAATTTCAAATCAACTTGCACCATGTAAAATCAAGATCAAGAGTTGTAAGTAAGAAGCATTGTTTATTGCTATTAGGCTTGTTGGGAAAACCAGAAGCAAAGTCATCCGAGTTTATTCTAGCTCTAAAGTGAACAATATTATATTATTGTCAAGATTTAGAATTCTTAAGTATCAAACAAAGAAATTGTGAGCCTCAATTAAGGAGAGGTTGTTCGAGAGGTCCAAAGAAGACCTCCTGTGTTGAACAAAGAAGTTGTGAATCTCGAGGATATAGTCAAAGATGACTCAAGTGTCGAACAAATGGTGCACTTCGTTCGAGAGCTCCAAAGAAGGCATCAAGGGAGGCTCTGAACAATGAGTATATTTTGTTCGAGAGCTCCAGAGAAGGCCTCTGGAGAGGCTTTGAACAAAGGGTGTACTTTATTCGAAAGCTCCAAAGAAGGCCTCCGATGAAGTTTTATGGTGT